GCTTAGAGAGGGCTGAAAGCCCTATGAAGCGGCATATAAGTCTAATAAATAAATAAGTAAGTAAGTAAGTAAGTAAGTAAGTAAGTAAGTAAGTTTATACATGGAATATTGGAATTGATCATTTTTTCTCTGTCTCATTAGAATCATTGCTTCTATCATGGCCATGTACAAGAATATGCTGAATCTGCAGTAATTTTGAGTACATGCTCTGGACTCAGGTAAGGCAAAATATTTGAGATGATGGGCATAAGATATAATCACAAGTGCTTAGTCTAGATCAGTGTTTCTCAACCTTGGCAACTTGAAGATGTCCGGACTTCAACTCCCAGAATTCCCCAGGCAGCATTTGCTGGCTGGGGAATTCTGGGAGTTGAAATCCGGACATCTTCAAGTTGCCAAGGTTGAGAAACACTGGTCTAGATTGTGTAAGAAATTGAGATAAGGGTATTGCCAGTACTTAGATGGGTAGCCACCTATAAAGACTAGAAAATTTCTATTAAACAAGTATTTCGGAATCTCTGATTCTCTTGCCTCCTGGTACCTTCTGTGATTTTGGAATAACCACAAAGTTCACTTGATCATTATACATTTTTATGGTATACATTTATCCCTTCAGGAATTCTGTCCTACTCTTTGTTCTTTCATCTGTTTCATCCATTACTTGCATTTCTCTGCATCTCTATTCATCTCTATAAATATCCCTGTCTCTTTGTTCTCTGTGATAGCAATTGTCTTTCCTTGCTGCATTATTCAAAAGTTTTTGAGAGAAGCTCAAGTGTGCCAGTATTGAATTATATATGAACATCAACTATAATAATATAAATTATGAATATTAAGCATGTTATATATAAAGCATAAACTGAATATCGTCACCAAAGTGACGATATTCATATGTCAAATGTTGTGATGCAAAAAAAACACAATTATGTCATTGACATCATGATATCATTGTAGGTTTGTGTTGTTACATTGACACCATCATGGTTTTGTATGGATGCTATTGGTGGGTTGCTACCATTTAGCAGACTCAGGGAACAAATAATCTGAGTGTTGACATTAGTCTAAAAATATTATTTGAATGTATCCCCAAAAGAGAAGCTAGGAATGAAATTTGTATTGGTTAAGTTAATCAACCTATTTTCTGAGAAATCTAAATGTCAACACGTAGATGTAACTGTTCACATAGTATGTAAGATGTTTACTAATCTAGGGAAACATGTTTCTTTGAGAAACTCAATAAGATCAAGCATATTTAATAATGCAGGGAAAAGTCACAAATCTGTTGGGAAATCTTTAATTGGTGTTTTTTATATCCTGGATTCAGTTCATAAATCTATTATTTTATATAGCCAGCAATTGGGAACACTGGAGTTTGCTCACTAAATCATTCTGAGTTTATCATGGTTTAATTTACTGTAAGTTTGCATTGTGAATATATTTAGAAAAGCAAGGTTGGAATTAAGCATAATTGTTTTTCATTTGCATCAGGGTGAATATTTTTAGTGTCATTGTGATATCGCCAAGTGATACATAACCAATTAAGTGGCTAGCTCAATATATTTAGTATTTTGTGAAGTAAACAGTTGTAACTATTTCTAGATTTTCCTCTCAGTTTGTTTTATCTTCATCTCAAAAAGCAACGTTTAGTGATTGGTATACTGTACCTATTCTGCTGTCTCTCCTGTCTATTTAAATGAGATATCTGTGTGAGATGATATGTCACACAGAATCATCTGTTGTTTTAATTTAATAAACCTAATTCACAGCTTGGTAGCACCATTAAGAGCCGAGGTGGCACAGTGGTTAGGGTGCAGGCCACTTCAGCTGACTGTTATCTGCAGTTCAGCGGTTCTAATCTCACCGGCTCAAGGTTGACTCCACCTTCCATCCTTCCGAGGTGGGTGAAATGAGGACCCAGACTGTGGGGGCGATATGCTGACTCTGTAAACCGCTTAGAGAGGGCTGAAAGTCCTCTCTAAGCTGTATATAAGTCCAACTGCTATTGCTATTGCTATTTAATCCTAATAACCTTTAGTCTTACAATATTAGAATAAGAGCTAATTAATAATAACTAGCAAGCAATGCAAGTCATTTTCTAGGACTTAGCAACTTATTGCATGCTCTTTCTTACTACAGTTTAGGCCAAAGGGGATTTTTGTTTTGTTTTTCGACATTCAGAAATATTCATAACACTATGCATCATTATAATTGTAATTCCTTTTGATGTTGATATGTAGTTTAATATTAGGACACTTGAACTTCTCAAACCCATTTCAATAATGTGGGGGAGAAAATACATCTTGATATAAACAAAGAACAAAAGGAAGATATATTTACAGAGGTTTCAAAGAGACTAGTGATAGTGCAGAGAAATAAGAATTAGTAATTTAGTAATTTAATAAATTTATATGCCGCCCAATCCCGTAGGACTCTGGGCGGCTTACAAAAACAAGATAAAAGATGAGAGTTAAAAATAGAAAAGAGAAACAAATTTAAAAACAACACACCATACATTCAGTCTAGGTGGGGCTGGACCTCATTCATGAACAGCCCCAGGCCTGCCGGAATAGCCAGGTTTTAGTGGCTTTTCGGAAGGCCGAGAGAGTGGGANAATCTCACCAAAGATTAACCACATAATAATAATAATAGATACAAAAGTCCACTGATAATCCAAACTGCCGACTTTGCAACAAGAAAGTTGAAACTGTTTCACATTTAATATGTGAATGCAACAAAATTGCATAAACTGATTACAAAGACACGACCGAGTTGCTAAATTAATCCACTGGTCATTATGTACAAAATATGACTTACCTGTATCCAAAAAGTCATGGGAGCACAAAGTGGAAAAAGTTACCGAAAATGAGAAGGTGAAGATCTTGTGCGACTTCCGAATACAGACGGATCATCATTTGGAACACAAAGCCAGATATCACAGTTGTATAGAGCCGAAACGTTCAATTTATTGACATCGCAGTACCAGGAGATGCCAGAGTCAAAGAAAAAGAACTGGGGGGAAAAAATCACAAAATATTGCGACCTGGCCATCGAAACTACCCGATTATGGATGAAACATGGAACAGTGATTGATACCCATTGTCATCGGGGCACTTGGTACCATGACCAAGAATTTTACAAAACACATCAAGAAATTGAAGTTTCCTGCAATAACACCGGCGGAACTGCAGAAAACTGCGCTACTCGGAACATCATATATTTTAAGAAGGTCCTTGTTTGATACCTAGGACACTGGCAGCAACCCGTACCAACCATTGGCACCAGCCAGTGGTATTTGTGACACAATTTTAAATGTTCAGTTGACTGAGTTTCATGTGCATTGAATAAAAAAACATAATAATTCATTTTTTCTTGCTGGTTTGGAATCTGAATTGAGAACAGTGATATTGCTTCTATTCCAAATAGGAAACATTAGCGGTTTGTTTTAAAAGCCTTTAGGAAAATAACCTTTTATATCTCTTCTTGGCGGTGGTTCTCCTGTTGCTGCTTTGCGTTTGATTTGATCTTCCTAACCAAACAAGATCCATGTTTTGGTCTCACTACAGAAAACAGAGTTGGATTATTGTGTTAAGGGGGAATATTTGTTAAAAAAGAAACAAAAACACCTCCTCCAGAAAATGCTCTCAGCAAAGTGGGACAAAGAACCATCTTTTCACAATGTAAGGTTGAGGAGGTAAAATAGTAACCTGTTGTGGCCCAGCAGGAGCCGTTGGAGCTGCCACCAGACTCCGACAGCGAGGGGCCCTCTGAGTCGGCTCTGGAGGATGTGGAGGACCCT